ACCTTGGTGCTTATGAAAAAACATTATTTACCTGACATTTCCTAGTTTGGATGGCAGACATTTTTAAAATGGCAAACGGCCATTTTAGCGAGTAGATAATCCGGGTAACAAGGGCACGGCGTTTGCATACTAATCAGACGTTTGCTGTACTCGCGCCTGATTGGTCAGCGGGAGACAACCCTCATTCCTCATTGGCTGTTTAGACTGTCCATCACGTATAATGAAACGTTTATCCACCTTCTTCACGTAAAAATGAGCGCGGCCATTTGTAAATTTTATGGGTCTGGCTTCTGGTTTTATTTGCTTCCAGCTATTTTTAGCTGTACAAAACCCCTAGTTTTGCTGCTTAATACTGCAAATTGGTGTGTCTTACCATATTATTTTAGTGTATTATCTTAATTATGAACACACTGGTTTGTAATGCAAATGGTTTTACCGTTTACTGCACGTTGTTATTCTTCTGGTTATTTCCCTTCAGCGGCTAATAAACCGGAAGTCTCGCCCATAGGCTTACTTCTGCATTTAGGAATAAGGTGGATACAATAAGACTTAATGAAGATTTAATGAAAAATTAATTTCATAATGTAAGATGCCATTTGTTGTCATGTAGCAGATTCTCATAATATTTTCTTGCAGGTGAACAAACAGTGATCATTCAGCTCAAAAATTTCACGCTTCACAGTTTGCTTTCCTGAAAGCCCACGAAAACCCTTCAAGTACCCATCAGCTGTGGCAAACAATAATTCTGCGGTTTATGTTATGAATATTTTGGGTAGAGCCGCATTAGCATCGTGAAGCATATGGCACTGCTGAAATTAATAACGTGCAGATGAAGTCATTATAAGTTATAGGTGCATTAAGTGGTCTAATGATGACAAAGTTTGGGGCGAAGACAATGAGTAGCATGACATTTTGTGCTGAAGGATAAAGTGAAGGATAATTTTGAGAATCGGCAGCGAGAGGAGAGTTGATGGATGTGAGCCGCCTCAGCCCACTATATCTCACTGCTGCTTCTGTTCAAGAACCGTGGGACACCTCGAGTGTTGACAGTAACCAGCCCAAATTGGCTGCCGAACACAGCTTGGGTTCCACCATAAGTGAGGGGGGTCTTACAAATGGCTGTATATCTGGGTTGGGGGTCAACAGGTCTTGTACGCTGGAGACAAGCGGCTCAAATGTGGCTGCATCATTACCGATGCTCCCGTACACCCGGCGCAGGAACCTGCTAACATGAAAACAGAGCAAGACCAGCTTGATGAGAACCTGCTGTGAAACCTGATAGAAGGACTAGATGATTGTTTGGCCCAGGGTTATTGACGTTAACAAATCTAAAACCGTCAAAAATTATTTTTCAGTTAAATATGAAGTACACTTATAAAGTCCACTAATTCACTATAGTGTTTCGGTTGTTATTTTCAAATGTTTGCTTTTCAATTTCTATGAAGCAGAAAGTGACTAAAGTTTTTAGTCCATAATATAAAACAGCTAAATCTAATATTGACTAATTTATATCCAGTCTACCAATTTAATCCCAGTTTCACGCAGTCAATGCAGAACAGAAATTAATCTCACTGTCTGATCAACTGGTGACTGCTAGCATTATGAAAATGAGTAGAAATGATTGGTGCTCAGAAGCTTTAGCTTTAACAAACACACCTGCGGGAGCTTTAAAAGGCGTATTATGTTAAATCTCTTCCAGGATTAGACTTCAACTCTATTCCTCAGAGATAAATAAAGGATTGTGGAGCTGCATATTGGGGTATTATGTTTTTGAGGATTTTTTTTCTCTTGAGACCCGTGACACTACTGCAAATACTAAAACATCTCTGCTTATCATTTGTCTCGTATGAATGCGTTTTAATATATTTCATCATGTGTTCTTTTTGAATATAGAGGAGACTGAGGCTAGACAGCATGAGTATTTTTCTTGAATGTCAAAAGAGTGGTGTTCTGGATGATTGTTAAAGGGATAGTTCACCCAAAAATGAAAATGTGATGTTTATCTGCTTACCCCCAGGTTGAAAAATGACTAAAAGTGAAATGTGAATTAAATTAAATCTAAATAGGATTCAAATAAAAAAAATCTTGTTACTTTTGAATTTACCAAGTTTGATTATCTTTATTACGACTATTTTAAATCTTGTTACTTTTAGGTTTGCCATAAATACATATTTGCATTTGTTTTTTGTTTTGTTTTTAAGTTAAAGCCTCTAATTGGCCGTTTAATGGCATATTCTAATTGTGACAATATGCTCTACTATAAAAGTTGAATTATTTGTTATGCAATAAGTTGAACATGTTTTTTCTAGTTAAGGTTTGTAGGCTAAATGTGAGAAACATTTACAAGAATAAAGTGTGCACACTGGTCCCGCTCTTTCCAATTTATAAGCTTCTTTCAACCACAATATATGCCATTGTGATGTGAGAGTTTAGATGTTTGCTCGTGAACAGCTTGGGAGGCGAGTTGCAAACGATCTGAAAATCAGAAGCGAACGGGTTAACAATACCACTCCTCTGCATTACCTGTTTAAACGGCCCTACGGGACGAGTGCAGAGATGCTGCTGAAGTGGGAGCGGTTTGATGATATATTGTGTTTGTTTCTGCGTGTGTGTGGTGGAGAGAAAGAGAGAGGACTCGGCGCTGAAGGCATGTCTCTTTGCAGGAAAATTAAGTGTCTGTGCAGCGCCTGAGACATCCACACTACCCACCCTCCATAATTTGGTGTCAGGCCCTCCGCTCATTAATTTTACTGCAGCGTTTCCAGAAGGCCTCTGGAGCGATGCGTGTGGGGTCGACAGTCCTGCTCCTGCCATAACAACCGCAACCATGCTAGGCAAATACGTGCTTGAAAATACAGCGAGCCGTCGGCAAACACACGGGGTCGCCTGTAAATATGTATCTGATGGCGCTTTCGCTTTATTTCTGTCCTAGAGAGCGAGGACCGTCACAGTATGTGATCTTCAGCCAATAAAAACTGAATGATGCTTCCACCAACTAATACAGCCACAAATACAATGGTGTTTTTACTATTGGTAACTAAAATTAAAACTATTCCAAATGATTTCCAATAATTGAAATGAAGCTAACGTGAAATAAAATATAAACATTCTATGAAAAGCTATCCTGGATGGACGGATGGATAACTTAGATTGTACATAATTGTAATTGTACAATTAATTGAATTATTAGCCTTTTATTAGCCTTTTGAATTCACGAAGAATGTAGCCTGTTGCTAATATTACATCAATTATATAAAGTAAATTAAAAAGAAAACTGAATATATAAAAAATAAAAGCAAATAAATACCATAATATATAATACTACTGAAATAACTCTGGGTGGCAAAATTGTCGAATTACTACTTCATGACTTTCAAAAGAACAGACATTAGGCTTTAATTGGCCTTCAAAAAAGAAACTGCATTAAGGCAGGGTGGGTCACATTAAGCTTTGACCTTTCATTTTACGTGTTTAATTTTACAAAATGGCACAGCATGCAACACGCTGAACTAAATCTGCACGAAGCGCCTTGGATTCTGGCCGTCATTTAGAGAAGCACAAGCACAGGAGAGATTTTAAATGTGTTTCTGAAAGGGCAGAGACGGGATGTTTGTGACAGATGGTGAACCAAAGTGAGACAGCTTTGCTTGAGCTCGTGCGAAACAAAAAATGAGACCAGCCGATTGTCAGCACATTATTTATTAGTTTAATTTGTGCAGCATAAACAATAGCCAGTGAAACGCCTTCTGCTCATTACTTAATGACAATATCCATATCTGTGCTGCACTCTTGAAAGATGATTTGTGTCTGTCAGACAGTTTTCTATTCGGGTACAAACCTATAAAAGACCCATTTGGGATAAAGAAATTAAGTTTGTCAACCAGTAATGGGTTGATATATCATGTAAACTCAGTATAATTATTATCTCGAAGCAAGTGCCATGAAGCATATTTGACTTTTTCGTGTTTATTTTTTAGTTGTTTGAGCTGGAAAAACATACCAGAACACACCATTAGCCAATCAGATAATTAAGTGAGATCGTGGAGATGTGATGCAAAGTAAAAAAAAAATTAAAAAAAAAGATGTACATTTTAAATCAGCATGATCAGTTGGGTCATTTAGGGCTCAGAAGTCCAGCTTAATTACAAAATTAATCAACTGTAGCTAAAATGCTTGTCAATAAGGGCTGACGCTTATGATTTTCACTGCCAGTAGGTGGCAGTGTGGGATACCCTGAGCTGTGAGGGCATGTGTGGTTTATAATACATTTAACAGCCAGAATCATTGCCATTTATACTAATTGTTGATAAATTATCATCTAATAACATTTTGAGTAAAACGAAGCATGACAATATTTTATATTAAAATTATGAGAAGTAACTTGGATAAATATATCAGAAAATCAGCCCTGAAGTATATATTTGTAGATATTTTTATTAATAATATATGCATATATATACACACACAATTTTATATTTTGTATATTTAATATATAAATCAACACTGAATATGATATATGTAAATTATAAATATATCAAATATTTTTTGAATATATATATATATACTGTATATATATTTATTAAGATAATATATATTATTTTAAGATTTTTCTACAAAGTACACTTCTCTTCTCATTATGCACTATGCAGTATTTTTGCCATACAAGCATGGTGATTTGCATGCTATATTACTGCAATTTCCAATGTTGCAGTATGTGATCATGCAGCAGAACTGCTGTTGTACTCCATCCAATTTAATACACTTGTACTAGAGTTTAACAATTTCATTCTTGTTTTTGTTAGGAAGTGCTGAACCGCATGCACTCTGTGTGCAATGACTTGAAAAAGAATAAATGATGTGCCTTGAAACTGTTAAAATAGAGCCGCAGTTCTCAGCTGTCAGCGTGACTGCATCAGAAATAATGATATGTTGTTATGGTTTGTTGTACTTGGACACAAAAGATAAGAAGAAATGTAATTGTCTGCACAGGACACACAACTTTATTCTGGGGTGAATCTGTAGAAGTCTTCTTTGAATGTCTGAGAATCAAATGATCTGCTAAATGCATTAGATGCTCTGCAAAGTTCCTTTCTGCCTTTGATTTCCATTGATTTCTCAAACCATGCATGCTCACGTTGGAGATCCTCCAAGCTGGAGAACCTCCAAGAATCAGTCCATGCCGTCATGGAGGGTCTATCATGACGACGCAGATGAGTTGATGACTTCCACGATTGTTCCCAGTCCGCTACGGATCGTGCATATGTATGTTGACATACCGGCTGGGTAGATGCACTTGTCGCTTGTCTTTCCAGAAGATGCTGACGTCTCGTTGACCTCCAGGACTCGGCCCATGCGCGAACCCCTGCTGGTCCATTATGCGGGATATCTTCATTTTCTCGCACTCTTCTAATAGGCCTGGGTTGAGAATTGGCAGACCAACCCTGCTGCCATAAACCGCCATCTTGGTTGAGAGTTAAGTTGGTGAACTTCCAAGAATCGGCCCATTCGGTGAGAGTTTGTGAGAATTGTGAAGGTGGACTTCTCCGGTTCCTCAAGGCTCTTTCTTCTCTACGCTGACGTTTCGTCATCTTCCAAGAATTCTTCCAGTTTATTTGCTCAGAGAAGTTAAGCATCTCTTGCCACTTCTGGCTTTTTGGCAAAGCAAGTACACTGAATTTCACATGTTCAATTGGTTGCTTGTCTGGTTTCAATGTCTCAACCTTCACTTCCACCTCTTTATTTATCTCTTCTTTATACTCTGACAGATTTTTTATGGTCGTCCATGACTTTTCCCATTCAGACAGCTGTGCGTCCCTCCCACCGAACTGAGAGCTCCGTGGAATTGTGTGCTTCATCTCTCTAGACACATTCATTATCACGTTGCAGATGTCGGGATGCAGCTCCTCAGGCTCCATCGCTTGAGATTGGATTGATTTCGTCTCCTTTTCTGATATGGTTTTCGCAACTCTCCAAGATTCACTCCAAGCTGAATTATCTGTAGCTTTAGATTTAATAGAATTATTCCATGGTTGTTTTTCCTCATTAGCTGTGGGTTGAATTAAATCATATTTAACATCTACTTCTTTTACAGGCTTCGTTGACTTCCTGGACTCGTTCCAGTCTGATGCGATTTCCTCATTTCGATTGTAAAATTTGTTGCAATCACTTTTATTTTTGTTTTCATGACACTCTTTTCTTTTCTGACTGAATATCCAAGAATTGTCCCATTCTGGAGTGACCAGGTCTTGTTTAATGTGTTCGGAGTCTAAAGCTTTGCTGAGTTTCTCCCATAGAAACATGTCATTGGAGCTCATATCGTTGTTGGCATCAAACCCAAGATCAAACCATGGTTTACCATCAGTGCTTGGCTGAAAATTGAGAAACTTCCATGACTGCCCCCAGTCGAACGCACAAGGACTTTCTTCAGGTTGCGGCAAAAGTTGCGAAAACTTCCAAGACTTCGCCCACACCATCAACCCCGGGCAGCTTTCATTGAGCTGACGTAACAGGGCCAGTTTATTGGCTTTTGTAGTCTTCGTCGAGTCCACCTGCCTTTGAATCCGATTGCTCTGGAAGCCTTGAGGCCTGCCAAGGTGCGTCTTTTTAGCCTTGTGTGCATCAAGAGTCGATTCTTCAGGAAGCTTTGCTTTTCTCTCCAGTCTTTTAGGGGGTTTTATCTTGGAGGACATGCGCGCCTTCCAATCCTGATTGATTCTATGAAAAGTTTAATTGGTACGGACAACAAACAAAAAGACTTCTCGTTAATTATGAAATGTGTGCTTCTTTTGTTTTAACAGATTATTTAAAGATGGCTGCTGTTATTAAAATTGATATTTACACAATTAAGGCAATTAAAGTTGACGCGACCACAAGCTCATTATCGTTCTGAATGGCCTTATTATGTGCAAACAGAATAGGCAGAGAGGCAGTTGGGATCAAACTGCATTCATGCAATATTAGAGCTACTGAAATTATGGGATGACTCGGAGAGCTGTTCTTGTCTGTTCTATTCTTTTTATTATTTATTCTTTTCTATGGCAACGCTCAAAATGCATCAATGAGCAGCTTGTAATTATGAGTGTGAGAAAGTTTTTTCCAAGCAGGAAACTAATAATTACAGTAATTCTGACATGGCATGAGTGCGGCAATAGCATGTTCATAGATATTACAAAAGTATATGGAATGGAATTTGTTAAATACAATTACATAAAGTGGTTAACTATCAACAAACCCCATATGGCAAAAAGTATATTTTATGTGGCCAAAAATATATGCTAAATATATGTTGTAAACAGTGAAGCTCAATGAAATATATTTTTAAAATAGAAAATATATTTAGTTTCAACCTTCATTCATCAAAATATATTTCCAAATGTATTTCGGTGGCAAGAAAATATAAGAATAAGTATTTTTAAGATTATATCAATTTTTATTATGTATTTTTTAAATGAATGTTTTTTTTTTGTTTTTTTTGCCTCACGGGGCTGCTTTTAGCAAATTGGAAATGCCTCAGATATACGTTAGGACATTTTTTGAGCCACAAAGTTGTTTTGTAAATATCGAGTTCAGGTCCTCACCTTTCCAGAGCGCTCTTCCGTATCCTCTCCTCTTCCAGCTGCCTTTTCTGTCTATGCTCCCTCAGTCTGATTTCCCAGACATCCTTCATAATTGAAGCGCCACATACTAACACCTCTGCGTTTTGGTCCATTATTGTAGAGACTCCTGCCGTAAGCGGAGATGAAGCTGTTAGTGGATGAACGAGATTGGATTTAACAAGATTGCAATGTTCCTTTGCATAAACTAACCATAAAATGTGCATTTGTTTACAGTTTACGAGTAGCATGCATTTGATTAAGCTACTTAATTTAACCAGGACAGGCAATTAAATATAAACACAGTACAAAACAAATGCAGACCAAAAAAATGCTATTTGGAACATTTGCACATTATAGAACACATTTAGCAGGAAATCATCACTTATCAGGCAAAAACAATAACATATGAAATTGCTTCCGTTATTAATTCTAAAATAGCATTACTGGATTGTACTTTCATTTATTTAAAAGCAATAAAATTTTGTTTATTCCTAGCGATGTTAATTGTAATTTCAAGAGTGCACTGCATCTAATACTGCTGTTCTGTCAACATAAGTGTATTTCTGTGCATAAATGATTAATAAAACTGCTTGCTTACCCGTCTGGCAGTTCTCTGTCAAATAAGCATCTGGAATCAGAAGCAGCTCTTATAAGTGTCAACTGTAACTAAACTAGCCCGTGTAACCAGGGCTCTTGACCCGGCTATTTTTAACCCCACCAGCTGCCAGGTGACTCTGTAACTCATTAGAATTGACAGAAATACTTGTTTGCATTCATTTAAAATATTCTTTTGTATTTCACCAGATACTGTACGTTACAATAAACCTGTGACTAAACGGATGTTGTTTTGTCACCCTTGTACATAATGATTAAAGTGGTGTCAGATTTCAGAATAAAAATGAGTTTCATCATGACAAGCGCTGATGATGGAGCTGATAATTAATACACTGAGTTTAGGTGGTACATGACACAGTAGATAATTAAAAGTGGGTTATTTGATTCCTTTGAATTTGGGTGAAAGGATCAGTGAGAGTGGTGAGAGTGTTTTACAGTCTTTTGCTCAATATAGCCACTAGAGCATGATGCTTGCAACGGTTGCAGGTTAAATATGTTATGAATGTACAATCTGCATATGACCGGGTACAGTACAGTAGTGAGTAAAAATAGCCACGAACAAGTTGTTCCTTTAAGGGAATAGTTCCCCCAGAACTATTTACTCAGATTTAAAATATTATTTTGTATTTCACCAGATACTGTACGTTACAATAAACCTGTGACTAAATGGATGTTGTTTTGTCACCCTTGTACATAATGATTAAAGTGGTGTCAGATTTCAGAATAAAAATGGGTTTCATCATGACAAGCGCTGATGATGGAGCTGATAATTAATACACTGAGTTTAGGTGGTACATGACACAGTAGATAATTAAAAGTGGGTTATTTGATTCCTTTGAATTTGGGTGAAAGGATCAGTGAGAGTGGTGAGAGTGTTTTACAGTCTTTTGCTCAATATAGCCACTAGAGCATGATGCTTGCAACGGTTGCAGGTTAAATATGTTATGAATGTACAATCTGCATATGACCGGGTACAGTACAGTAGTGAGTAAAAATAGCCACGAACAAGTTGTTCCTTTAAGGGAATAGTTCCCCCAGAACTATTTACTCAGATTTACTCACTCTCAGGTCATCCAAGATGTTAACTGATGGACTGGAGTGCTGTGGATTACTTGTGGATTAAAGCTGCCTGTTTGTAAGAAACAAATCCAGCATTAAGACATTTTTAACTTCAAACGTGGCTTCTGACTAAAATATAAGTCCATAATCCATAATAACACTTCCTGCAGTGAAAAAGTCTGGTTGTCTCTCCCATCAACCCGCATATTTGTTTAAAAACGTTAAAAACGTGTTAATGATGGATTTGTTTCTTACAAACAGGCAGCTTTTGTCTTCTCCAGATGTTAACTGATGGACTGGAGTGCTGTGGATTACTTGTGGATTATTGTGATGTTTTTATCAGCTGTTTGGACTCTCATTCTGACGGCACCCATTCACTGCAGAGGATCTATTGTGATGTAATACTACATTTCTCCTAATCTGCTGAAGAAACAAACTCATCTATATCTTGGATTACCTGAGGGTATGCCTATTTCCAGCAAATTTTCATTTTTGGATGAAATATTCCTTGTAACACTTACGTACACTGCATGCATATAATCAAATGTTTATATAACTCATTTCATTGTGCTGTTGTTGTGTATGCAACAAATAAAAATTTGATTTCAATTGTCACCAAGTTTGCACTGATATTGTTTTGCTCTTTTAATCTCAGTGCTGCTCGTATGAAAACTTCATTTTGCATCGCATTTGTCCTTGTTTCTCACAGAAGTTTCTGACATCCTGAATCTTAACCTTTCAAACGGAGTGAAGAAACTGTGCGGTGCCATTCAGAAGGCAGACAGCTCATTAGGAGACAGAGCGTCAACCTTTGCATGGCTGATAATGATTCAGCTGTCATTACCGTGTCAGTTTCCAGAATAGAAATCACAATAATCAGCTCTGTCAAATGTTCCCCATAAGAAGCAGAAACTTGCACTCGCTGTCAATGCCAAGAATGACATGGATATTCAATCGATAATGCATTGTCAAATGTATTAAATTAAAATATTTCATTACAGCAAACCAAAGGCAAGGTTAAGTATTTTGGAACAACATTTAAGAGAAAGTTCACCTAAAAATCTAAATTCATGCCATTCAGAACCTGTTTTTTTTTTCCCGCAGCTCTTTTGCATTTAATGACATTTCATATAGCGACCATGTCTGTCAAGCTCCACAAAGGACTAAAACAATAAAAGCAATATAAAGGCACCATGAAAGTGCTTTTCATGAGGAAAAGACTCAAATTTGAGACCAGTATCAATCTCATCTTTTGTTTTCATGATAAAATGGCATTTAGGTTTGGAACAACATGAAATGAGTTTTCATTTTTGGGTGAACTATCATATGGATTTTTTTAAGATAATTGCAACTTTTTGTTTCACAATTCGGACTTTATTTCTCACAATTCTGACTTTTTTCTCAGAATTGCAAGAAAATGTCAGAATTGTGAGATAAAAACTCAAAATGATAAGGAAAAAAGGCAGAATCTCAAGATATGAAGAAACCTGCAATTCTGACTTTTATTTTGCAATTCTGACTTTTTTTTTCGGTGAATTTTGATTTTACGTCTCGCAATTCTTTTTTTGCCACAGCATAAAAAATTATAAAAGGTAAGTGCAACTTTATCTCACAATTCTGACTTTTTTCCTCAAAATTGCGAGTTCATATTTGATAATCTGAGTTTATATCTCGCATGTTGATTTTTTCTCAGAACTGTGAGAAAAACGTCAGAATTGCGAGATAAAAACTCAAAATTCTGAGGGAAAAAAAGCAGAATTGCAAGATATAAACTCAGAATTGCACAATATAAACATGCAATTCTGACTTTATATTTTGCCATTCTGAGTATTTTTCTCTCGCAATTCTGTTTTTTTTTTTTTGTTTCTGCCACAGAATAAAAAAGAAATTGCTACTTTTTCTCACGATTCTGACTTTTTTTCTCAGAATTGAGAGTTCACGTCTTGCAATTCTGCGTTTATATCTCATAATTTTGACTTTTTTTCACATAACTGCAAGAAAAAAGTCAGAACTGTGAGACATTGTATGAGTTCATAGAATATAAACTGATATAAACTCGAATTTCTGTGAAAAAAGCAGAATTGCAAGATATAAACTTGCAATTTCTCTCAATTCTCTGTTTATTTCTTGCAATCCTGACTTTTTTTCTCAGAATTGTGAGCTTATATCTTGTAGTTCTGAGTTTATATCTCACAATTCTTTGTGAGTTTATATGTCACATATTGACGTTTTTCTCAGAATTGCAAGAAAAAAGTGAGAATTTGAGAAAAAGTGAGAAAAAAGTCCAAATTGTGAAATAAAAAGTCGCTATTACCCTCTTTTATTTTTCTACCCCCATGCGGAAACAGGCTTTCATATTATTCCTTTAATGCGTTATCAGGAAGTTTATTTCAGCTCATCTATGGAAGGCGTTAAATAAGAATCAGTATTTAGCAAATGCAGCCATACTTAAAATCGAATAAACTCAAGTCAAGTAAACATAATTACACTTCTTACCTCCATAGATGTCATTAAAACTTCCCTGTAAACATGCTGAAACACCTAATGGGCCTGCACTGGCGTTATCCAGAGGCTTGTTAATTATGGGAATGAAACACAAAGATATGTAAATTAATTATGAGCCAGCAGGGGGCTCATATGAGTCAGCGAGATCGCTCTATTACACGCTCTTCACTAGTGATGGGAAGTTCGGATCATTTTACCGACTCGGACCTTTGAGTCTCGTTCAGCAAAATGAACGAATCTTTTTTCGAGTCATTTCGTTCATTTTAGCAAAATACAACTAAAATGTTACGTGTTACTTCCCTAACACGTCTACTAACGCAAACGTTGATCACACTACAAACAATACAAAACTGCAATAAGAAACAGAAAAGATTAATTGTTTACCTGGGTCTTCAGTCTATGATTAGCTCACCACCTCTTATCT